AACAGCTTCTCTCTTGGAACTGCCTCACTTCAAGGTGGACTGGTATACAGATGGAGCTAGGGAAACTTGGAAATTACTGTGAAGTATGTATGTGTGAATTCTGAATGTATGCAATCACATCATGTCTTTCTCATTAATTACTGTACTGGTTTTGGCTGGGATAGAGTCAAATTTCTTCACAGTATCTCGTATGGCACTGTTTTTAACTTGTGACCAAAACAGTATTGATAACACACCAGTGTTTCAGTTACTGCCAAGCAGTGCTTACACATAGTCAAGGCCTTTTCTAGTTTCACACCACCCCACCAGTAAGAAGGCTAAGGGTACACAAGAAGTTGGGAGGGGACACAGCAGGGACAGCTGACCCCAACTGACCAAAGGGATCTCCCATAGCATATGACAGCATGCTCAACATATAAAGCTGGAGGAAGAAGAAGGACAGAGGGGAGTTTGGAGCGATGGCATTTGTCTTCCCAACCAACCATTAGTCATGATGGAGCCCTGCTTTCCTGGAGATGAGTGAACTTCAGACTGCAGATGGGAAGCAGTGAATGAATTCCTTATTTTACTTTATATGGATGTACAGTTGTTTTGTTTGTTTGTTTTTAGCTATTAAACTGTCATTATCTCAGTCCATGAGTTTTTGCATTTTTGGACCTCTAATTCTCTTCCCCATCCCACTGGTGAAGAGTGACTGAGCACTGTGTGGGGCTTAGCTGTCTACAGGGGCTGAACCACAACATAGCCCTAAGAGTTTCAGTATTAATTGCAAGGGTGTCTCTTTTATACATATATGCCAGACATATATTTATGAAATTGTCCTAATATTCATTAAAATGCCTGATAGTTTTAGCTTCTGGACCTCATTAATTCAATTCAATTTTGAGCTTTTTTATGTAAGACAGAGACTTTTTTGCTTTTAAGATACTCAGTATATTGTTTCATCATACTTTCTCTGCTATACTTCTGTTATTCATTAGTGATCACATTTACAAAGCAAATATTATTTATATTACAGCTTAGTGTCTCCCCAGGCTATACGAGATAGTGTGACTTCCTAACAGTGAAGCTTACCTTAAGGCCATTAGTATAATAAGTACATTTCTTACTCGATTCTCTGTGTAAACATTTTGACTTCTGAGCCTTTGAACTGATTGATGTAGTTTACATGAGCATTGCTTATTTGTACAGTGCATTTTAAAGCATATCTACCATAACTAAAAATAGCTAAAGCTCAATGATTATTTTGAAACAAGCCCACTAGAAAGTAGCCCCAGATGGACTCTTTCTGTCTCACCTAAAGCCTGAACTGACATTTCTTGTGTATAATAAATTGCTTCTGGAAAGTAGCTCATTAAGTCTTTCTTGCTACAAAATTTCTATCAAAACAAATGAATGAGTTCATGATAAGGGGAAAAAGAGAACAAAGGGGCTTTCTCTCTGCTGAAGTATGGAGCTGTCCCCTACACCCATGAAGAAATTAAGATTTTTTTTCTTCTTCCTACTTTCTTTTTATTTGCTTGTTTATTTTTAAATACTTTTAAAAATTACCGTATGTTCTGCTGTAGCTGTGACAAAAAGATATTGAAAAAACATAATGTACACTGGGGACAAATTATCTGTTGACATAACTCCATTATCAGTCCCACTCCTGCCTTTCTGAGTACCATATGCTGGAAGTGCAAAAGTCATACTATCACCATAAGGAATATATCATTGTTAGTTTGTTTTCCTTCTCTCTCACTGTGATGTAGCTAACACAATATGCTTGAACTGTCCTCTGCAGGAGTCTCTCATTTCACAGTACAGAAGACTAGGACTTGTAAGTCAGACAGTGATGTTTCACCTTAAGCCATCTAAAATTAAGAGAATACACTGCTCAGATCCCTCAGAGGGATGACAGACTTGTGGCAAAACCACTGCAGATCTTGTTAATCACTTACATCTAAGTGATAAATGCTACTGAAGTGAAAGGAACTGGCATTGCCCAGCCCTTTTGTTTTGGTTTTAGGTTTGTTTTGGTTGGTTGTTTGGTTTGGGTTTGGTTTTGATTTACTTTTTTGCTGGTCTTCACTCTAATAATTCAAACAGAATTCAAGCAGCAGTGGTCCTGAAATTTGCAGTGTGTAGGAAAATAAAAGACAGAAGGTCAATCAGGAAGCTTTTTTTTTTTTTGTTGCTTTTTATTTACAAGTAATAAAGTGACCTTTCTCATTGTGTAGTGCATATCCATATTTTGCCTAGGTGCATTACCTCTTAGAGTCAGATAGTTGCTAACTGAAACATGCAAGAACAGATTTTTATGTATTTTTTTTAATGCTTCAGGACTTTTTTGGTAACTGTGAATTGCCAAAAAAATGGCAGAGAAGAAGACTAAGTGTTGTCCCAGGGTAAAGGTGTTAGCAGGAAACCAAAAACAGTAGAAAACAGTAGAAGCAAGTTAAGGAAAGACAACAGGATATTGTTATAAATAAGCTTTATCCTACATAACAAGAATTTTGACAATGTGAATGCAAACTGGTTTAAATCAGGTTATCTACAAGCTAAAGTGAGAATGATAGAATAAAAACATTCTGTTGAAAACACTTTCCAAACAGAGATACTGGATAATGGAAAGATATTAGGGAAAGATGTTAAAGAGTATATGTCAGTGGAATTTTAAAGAGCAGGTCAAACAAAAAGAATAGTTTAAGCATAGATTATTTACCTTTGGGGAAGTCAGTGGCTCAATGACCTTTTGAGAACACATTGCGTCTTTTTTTTATGTGGTGCTATGATTTTACAGCAGGTAGGCCTCCATACTAAATGCTCATTTAAAAAAAGCAAACTGAATTTTGTCTTGATACAAGAAGAAGGCAGAATTTGTAATGAAATAGTGTTAAAAGAGATCTAAATACACTGTGTTCAATAAAAGGCTTTTACACAAAACATTATTATCAATGTACCATAACAATTACAGTGATAAAAACAAGATCAAAGCCTACAAAGTTGTCAAAATTGAACATTACCAATGAAAATGTCATTTGACATTACATTGTTCATATGAAAAACCCCACAACTTTGTTTAATTAAATACAAATATTTATTTATATTTATTTTACTAAAATGTTGTCAACCGGTAATAGTAAACATAATAAACACTGACAAGATAATCAAGCTATCAGAAAAATATCAAGAACCTGTAAAAGATCGATCAAAGGATAATGCTTGGGAGATAATTTCTCATAGTAAACTACTATTTTAATCAAGGATTTAAGGGGGAGGAAAAAAAACCCAAACCCTAACGAAGAAAAAAAGCTCCTTTATCCACCTTGTCATGTGACCTGTAAGTGAATGTGTGAAACCTTGCAGGCAGTAGCTAACAACATAATAGGTCAACATTCTATTCTGTTCTATTGACTCTTCCCTACAATATCATTCCAAGAACATCACTGTTCCCAATATATGAAATTTCTGCATCTGTATGATAAGAGTAGAGATAACACAAAAATCTTACAGGCAGAAGCATCCAAAAGCTTGCATCTTAAATGGAAATATATTATAATTTCAGTTATAATTGAAATTATCTGCTTTTACTGATTGAAATACACACTTTACTTTCATTCAGTTTTTCAAGAATGTGTATCTATATCTATCTACCTTTCTATCTACCTATCTATCTACCTACCTTTCTTTCTATCTATCTATCTATCTATCTATCTATCTATCTATCTATCTATCTATCTATCGACAATGATCAAAGAAGCAAGGCACAATGCTACAAAGTAGTTGTGCCAGAAAAAGAAAGACAGTATTGAGGCTGTTTAGATATACAAAAATGCATTTTAGGTAAAATAATTTTATAATTTCGAAAGACTGAACAATTTTTTTAACAGATCACATGGAAACACTGGTTTTTTATAAACCTATAAAACACATTACACTGTTATTCAATATTATGTCATACAATGTGTTCTTTATGTCTGTTAACATCTATAGCACAGAAAGATAAAGTGAATATACTGGAGAAGAAATCACTAGTTTCAGTTCTATGCTAGGTAAGAACACAAGTTGAACAAAAACTGAGGAGAAAAAAATGCTGACAATAGATCTATTTAATTTCAGTGGATATTATCATATTTTTCTACCATTCTACGAAAACAATTTTAAAATTAGCATGGGGAAAATATAACAGACACGTTTTGAAAAGAAATAAATTGAAGAGGAATCAATTTCAAATGTGGAAAGCTTATAAATCTGAGATCTGAGGCAACCCATTTAATATAGACGTTTGGAGACCCAGAAAGAAATACGAAGTTATAGACCTTTCACATGCATTTGTTCAGATCTAGAGAATTTCTCCAAATTTAAAGAATGGATATTTTGTCTACTTTATGGGGTGAAGCAAGAAAAATGTTTATATTAATTATCAACAAACGGTTTTTGCAATAATAAACCGGATTATCAGAAAAGAGTCTCTGCATCTTGTAATATGACACTATTCATATGGGTATTGTCAAATCATTCACCTTTCAGAGGATATTTTCTGCCTCCAAGTGTTTGTTACCTAATTTCTTTGATTTTGAGACAATTAGCCTTTTCATTTGCTATTTAAAAGAGACCATAGAAACTGCTGAAGTAATTGAGAAGCTATCTTGAAAAGGTAAAAGCAGACATGGTTACACAGTACATGTTACTCCAGTAATCCAATGCATTACATTTCTTCTTTTATATGTGCAAGCATTTTGAATGTTATCAATTTAGTCACACAATTCTGCACTTCAGCTAGAAGCAAAATGTCAGCAGTAGCTTAAGTTTCCCTTTGTATAAGGTTAAGAAATTAAGTACATTTAATATTCTTTCTCCTATGCGAATAGATAGCATACTGTTTTCCAGTGTGATACTGGAATATCTTCCAATACTTAACTTGTGTTCTTAGAACCATGGTATTTTTAATCTGACTTTTTCCATTAAAATGTCAATTTACTTCTATGTAGATTACAAAATACAAGGGTATTTTCTTAACCATAGAACTTGTGGAGTTTATGTGAGATTTTCATTTTGTTTGGTTTGGTTTTCAAGCAAAAACACAGATCCATGTTGCTTCCCTCAAAAGCATTCCCCAATTTTACCTGTAAGCTTGTCTAACCTACTGCTTATTGAACTCCTTTACCTTAGAACATTTGAAGAAATTTGCTTTCTAATGTTTCAAACAGACCTTGTATTGTGTTGGGGTTTTTCTGTTTGGGTTTTTTGGTGTTTTGTTTTTTTTTTCCTAATTTTTATTTTATTCTTATCAAGAAAAAGCTTCCCCAGCCACAGTATTTGTTCAAAAACCCAAATTTGATATTCAGGTTCACTGGAGGAATGAGGAATGCCTTAACAAGTACTGGAAAGCTGTACACTGAACAAAACTAATACTCAAGGGCAGTAAGGGCCATTGAAGCAGGTTTGTGAGATTCAAAGACCTCCTCAGCTGCTGAGCCTGATCCAAAGGTCACTGAAAGTCAACAAATGGCCATTTATGGTGTCAAAAGTGATTTTGAAATGTACCTCCCAGAGCATCTGGAGATGTTGTAAGTGTCATAACGCCAGTGTTATCAGAAGCTGTTACAGGTTTTTGGTGCTTTTGTTGTTTGGCTTTGGGTGTTTGGGGTTTTGTTTTGTTCTGTTTTGTATTTTTTTTTTTTTTTTTGGTTTTGTGGGTTGGTTTTTTTTGTGCATGTGATATATTGCATGCTACATTACGCTAATGGTGTGATTTATTCATGACTGAGGTCATAACAAATCATGCTTAATGTTTAGGACAATGTGAGCATTCTCTAAAGAAATAATTTTGTAATTCAATGGTAACTAGATAGAAATAGTTCAGGTGTACTATGAATAAGTCCAAGGTGAAAAATTATTGATTTTTCAAATCTCTCGCATTGTTTCTCAGAACAAAGCAAGTGTAAGTCATCATTATCTGGATCAATATCATAGATAAATAGCTCAGCATTTAAAGTTCTTCCTGTGAAACAGTACTTCTTGCTAATGGCTATAAGTATTAAATTTCATTTAGGTGTCTAATTTTGTTATTAGCATTATACATTGTACTTCCTTTCTACTAATCTCATGTGTGGTATCAAAATCAGATAGTAAGTCCATTAGTGCAGGTTTATTTGCAGTATTTTAATTTACCATGGTTTTCATTTTTCACTTATAGATACTTTTTAATCAAGTGGTACAGGAAAATAAAATTTCTACACTACCTAAAATGACCCTTTTAATGGTTAGATATCTGTTTATAAGAGTTTACTGGTGTTTATAAAATTATTTATAATGATAATATATTTCTAGCTTTTTTATTTTGTTATTTGGTTTTGATTGCTTCTAAAAGCTTATTTTGTGTTTGTTTCCGTCACTTTTTTGTAGGGTTTGATTACGTAACACACTGACTCCTGCTCTTTGGTACACAAGATGAATGCTAAAATTTTTTTCTGTTTTAAGATAAAAAATCCTTCTGCCTGTCTCTCCAATGCCTTGTGTATCTCAAGAGCTAGAATTTTGTGCAATTCTATGTAAACTGTATTTGAAAGTACTTGATAGCTCCACCACTTGTAGTCGCAGCATATACCATATCCAGACCAATGTGCTGACCACCCTTAAATCTGTGACCAGGTTTCCAAGCAAACTACTTAGCCTGAAGTAACAGACTGGAAGTTCCAGTTAATCTGTACATGGTGGGATGGGCAAGGAATGTTCCAGTATGAAGCAGGTTAGAATGCTGCACTGGGTAGACATACCTCAATCAATCTGTTGAAATAAAATGCACAAACACAGGAACTGTATGTTTTACTGATGCTCCCCCTGCCCAACACCTTAGCAAAAACTATTTTAACTTCTCGTAAGAGAAAATCCACTATCTTCTGAAAACCAACTGACAACAGGCTAAATCTTCAAAGTTCTATGTGTCACTTTAACTATGTGTGTTTCAAATGCCAATATCTGTTTCTTTAAGTCATCAGCTAGCCCTGACATACATTGACAGGGAATGTTTCCCAGCACAGGAACTTGAGCATGCACATATTCTTAAAAGGTTAGATCAGTATCTGTCAGAACTTTTGTTTATGCCAGCTCTCCCAGTGAATATTTTTCATGAGTGTAGAGTTGGCTTATATTAAGAAACATTCCCAATAGAATGTGTATAACCGCCCTGTTCTGAATACGTTTAATAGAATTAATGTAGGCTGTCCCACAGCAATCTGTATCATTTATCAACCTAACTGTAGTCTATCAGCACTACCCTAACAGGAATGGAAAGGATGTATTTTAAGAAGGGCAGTCTTCAAACAACAAGTTTTCAGAAGATTATCTGTATTAAAATAAGACTTGTAAAACACAGCAAAGAGATAAGGAGGATAGAAATACTTTGCACATTTTAAAGACATCAGCTGCAGAAGAGTGAAGGATTGACAACTGCTCAGATATTGGTTAATATGAGATAGCCCACAGTCAAAAGTACTGCTGTAAAATCAAACATCTCATTTCATAATCTCTATTTTGCAGCAGAGTATAACAGAAGAATGTTTATAAAAGACAATCAAGGACAACTTTCATGCCCTGAAGATATTACCAAGTATTTCAAACAAAAAAAATCATATTATCCAAGTGACAGGTACAATTTCAGTAGAGAATGAAGGACTGTGTTAAGTACACTTGGATTTAGGGAACTGACATTTTACTAAGCAAACACCTTATTTTTTCTCATATGAATTTTTTTTTTTTTACAATCTTTTTTCCAGTCTTATGAAGGACAATGTTTTAGATGTGTACAGGTATTGCAAAATTAAATAAAGGAGACCTTATTCGCTGAAACCAATATGTATAAATAATGTAGTATTTCTATAGATGCTTCAGGAATGATAACAGTAGGCCTTTTACAATGCTGAGATGTCTCTTTGAACTTGCTACTATAATCACTGTGTACATAACTTAATAGTATAACAGCAATACTTTATCTTCAGAGCACTTGCATCCTGATATGTGAAATGGTAGGGTTGGATCATAAACAGCAGTTGAAAAAGTTACAAAGCTATTTATTGACTATATAAAGAACTTTGTTTCTTATTTTAGGAAGGCTGTTTTGCCTTAACTCAGTACTAGACACTTTAAATAAACAAAATACATATTTAAAAAAAAAAACAAACAAACAAAAAAACACAAACAAAAAACCCAAAAGCCACAAACAAAACAATCCCCCCCACAAAATAACCAAAACTTGAAAAGTATCTAAGCTCTCTGCTCTACTGAATTGCCAGACAGTTGTAAGAGGTAATACAGAGGACTGATGTTCACTGCTACATTTTCACCTTTCATTCCCAGATCAGGAAAAAGGAAAAAAATTACCTGGAGAGAGAAAAGCATCTGTTTTAAAATTTAAAGATTTGGGAAATCAGTTTTATTTGTCCTTACTACAATTTCAGTTACTGGGATATTTTTCGAACGCTTGAATGACAAAGGACCATTTTTCTTGGATTTACTGAAAATTTATATTCGCATCTTGCAGAACAATACTATTACATTGTACAATGCACTGCAAGAAATTCTGGGATAAGAAAGTCTAATTTTCAGTTCTAATTTTAAAGGTGCTTATTAGCATGAAATTAAAAAAAAAATGTTCACATTTGAGTTTCTCCCCTAGGAATTTTACATTATCCAGAAAGCACAAAGAGAAACCTATTAGCTGACCATGACAGAATATGGCACTACCTGCTACAGTTAATTATAAAATATAAGTAATAAAAACATATTCTTATATAAAGCAATTACCATTGAAACAAAGGTGCGTTAGGTCAATACATGAGTATACTACAGAATGAAAAGAAAATATTTAAAGGATACACTAAGGCAATTACTTGCCAGCTTAATTTAAAAAACGCTGAAGCTCGTATTTGTTAAGATTTATACTTCCACTATACCTCATCTACCCAGACATGCTCTCAATTCTATTCCTAGTCCATAAAGTAAGTATGTGCATACACTTTTTTTTTTTTTTTTTTTGGGGGGGGGAAGAACTTCTAAGAATTTCAACATGTTTGCATGCTTGGCTTTTCCTCCATTTACTTTCCCATGCTTGAAACAATGTCTGTATTTATTCAGTTTGTATTTATTCTTTTTATTTTATTTTTTTGACAAAGAAATTACTGTCAGGTACTAAGAATTCACAGCAAATAATGCATGTAATACAATTTAGAAAAACTTCTCAAAAACTTCAAACTGACAGATTTTAATTAACAATGAAAGTCAGAATTCATAATTCTTCCAGTCCATTGACTAATTTGTTAAAATATTTTGGATTTATTTGCTGGTGGTGAAGAAGCACTCAATGAACAGGTTTAAGGGTGTATTTGGTACCAGTATGTTCTTGTACAGGTACCTACAAAAGACTTCAAAATGTTTCTCATAAGGCAATCACAAACCACCATAAAAATCAGTATGTATTCTTCACCTTTCACTGCTGTATGAATGTTTCATACAGTTTCAGCAGAAATGGTATATATTTTTGCTAAGAATGACTGTACCACTTTCTTCAGCAGCACGTTTTAAAGTATTACCAGGTTATCGTAATAATTCTCTAAAACGCTATTTGTGATGAAATAGATACTTAATTTGAATTTTTCATTCTTGGGAATCAATAATGCCATTTTCTAAAGTTTGTAACCAAAATGAGTATCAGGCACTGTGAAAACAATATGGAAAGTCTAGCTGTTTCACTTTTCAGAGAACACTTTAATTATTCATTGACTGAATAACCTTTCTTGATTCCTTAAATGTAAAGTTTCAAAGGACAACCACTTCGCATTTATAAGGAACTGCTTCCAATAGTACTTAATCTGCTTTCTTTTCATTGCACAGGACTTCATAACAGCAGCGAAAAAATGTTTACCCTTTTACTGTCAATAGTGTACTCAGCCTGCTGCTTTGATTTTAAGGTCTGCTTAATATTTTATGCAGACTTATTTCACAGTTATTTTTGAAACTACCACGTTACTTATTTATTCCACAGGTGTATTCTTGCTGTAGGGTCTAGGATAGAGGAAACCAGTTAACTGTATTTTAGTATTTATGTTGGTAGAATTCCCATTCAGGGATATGAACATCATCTTTTAATTAGACTCATCCAAAGCCATGGTTCTTAAAAAAAAGAACTGACAACTTGAATTATATTTGGTATAGGATGTCTATATCTAGTGCAACGCACTACTACTAAATGGACAGTCATGCTAAAAAAGTTGCTGTTATGAGCTGCCATCAAAGCTAATAAGCACATGCAAGTTACATAAAAATATATTTGAACAGGCCTCGATAAACTACATTCATCATTGACACCTATAGATCAGGGAAAAGTCCGACCCTGAAAAGTGCAACCATAACTTTGATTAGCTGACAGAAGGTAAAACCACAGACGTTAACAGTATCACTCCAGACTTAATACCAATTTAAGTGGTAGCAGTATTAATGATTCAAAAATTAAGTGTATGTGTGTCTTACTAAATAGGAATTCATGTAGGAAATTAAGTGATTTTTTTTAATCAATGATTATTTTTTAATCAGTGTTTTCAACACATGAAGATGACACTTTCCCTAGCCTGGAAAAACCTAATGAAGTTCTAAAACATAAATATTATATCAACTGATGACAGCTTTAAAGAATTAAAAACAGAATTAGAAAACCTTAGGCTAATAAAATATGACAAGGCATAAGACTGCAAACAGAGCTCCTGCAGCACATTAAAAAGAGAAAGAAATCAAGCAAGACAGTCTAATAAATATAATATGTTTTTTCTTCTCTTTCTTCTCTGTGAACAGTTTTTATCTGTTGTTGTGAATATTTAAAGACAAAAGCAGAAGTATCTCAGTTGCCTGTGTTCATAGTTATGTATTCTGAACACTGTTACTCAAACCATAGCACTCCTCAAAAGATGAAACATGGCTGCTTATAGAAATTTAAGATGACAAAATAAAATAAAGGGAGTTACTAACAAGGAGTCAGTCAGTAACGTGATCATTGTTGTGTTGCTGGGTAGAAAGTAAGTTTGGGGATTTTTTTTTAATAATAAATACATAAGTACAACTGCATTATACTTATCTGTAAATCCTACTTAGAATTCTTACCAAAATTTCTTAAAAATTCTAGTAAAAATGGTTGGAAAGTACTTAACTGTCACTCTATTTATAGTTTGTCTCTTCTGCTCTACTGTTTGATATTTCTTGCTTGTTTGTTTTTCTTGGCTTGCTTTCAACTTATTCCTAGGGAGAATTATCTTTTCCAAGCTTCACCACTTTGTTTTAAAATACTCTCTACCAAAATACACACTACAAATAAAACCCCATATCTTGATGTGCTTCTGTTTAACTACTTGAGTTTTAAAATACAAGGTTCAGATTTTGAAAACTATATAAGGTAATGTGTTAAAAATTCATATGATTAATATGTTCATATTAATGATTCAATAATTTGCTGAATATGAGCTTAAAAACCTGTGATTTATTTGTATACTGATTATAATGCTATATTTTGATCCAGAGTATCTGTTAAAATTACTTATTTCTTAACAGGAAAAGACAAAATGACAAAAATTGTGGCTCAAATAACATTGAGATGACTTTTCATGTTTCATGTGCCCTATTGATTTTGTGCCTTTGGCGCTGAAACTTCTAAAGCAATGGTTTTCTCCCAAGGCCTTATCCAAGGATGCTAGTCAACTGAGGTATTGGGAAATTACAGCATTTAGAACACACACAAAATGTAATTGCTCTCCCTGATGTTCATGTAGTATAGTTCACTCTTTACTCACATATGTATCACCTATTCTTCTACCCCTCCTCAACAGAAGATATACTTTTATTCATGTGCAGGCTGGATTATGACTGTTTAATTAGAAGCTATTTTCTTTTCACTAGTCTATAGCTGTCCCCCGGCATTATTATTTACTCTACACTGTTTAAAATCTTGTTCAAAGACAGGACTATTAATTTTTTTATCAATCTTTATGGCACTCATTTTAGCATCTGAGTGCTTCATAAACAATAATACATCTTCTTTCACAAGTCTCTGAGATAAAGCAGAAGTATTATCCCCGCACTAACTAAACATAGTAGAAGAATCACGTTGATTCTGAGGCTAGTCTGACAAATATATTTTACAACTTAAACCAAGATTATTAAATTTGCTGATAAATATGAGTATGTAAGATTTCATGCTAAGAATCTTGTTAAAGTAATTCAGTATTAACCATGGATGTGGGGTAATGTCATGGTTTAAGCCCAGCTGTAAATCAGAACCATGCAGTCTCCCCCCCCCCCCCCCAGTAACTCCCACGGGTTGAGATAAGAACAGTCCAGTAACTAAGGTATAACACAAAACCACTACTGCTACCACCAATAATAATAATAAGGGAAATAACAAGGGAAGAGAATATAATCGCTCACCACCCACCAACCAATACCCAGCCCAACTGAGCAAGTGACCTAGCCCTTCCAGGTAACTGTCCCCAGTTTATACATCGGGCATGACGTGCTGTGGTATGGAATACCTCTTTGGTTAGTTTAGGTCAGGTGTCATGTTTCTGCTTCCTCCCAGCTTCCCCTCCTCCCCGGCAGGGCATGAGACTCAGAAAGTCCTTGGTCAGAGTAAACATTACTGAGCAGCAACTAAAAACATCGGCGTTATCAGTGCTGTTCCCAAGCTGAAAGTCAAACCCACAGCACTGTAGCAGCCACTAAGAAGCAGAAAAATGACTGCTACTGCTGAACCCAGGAAAGCTAAGCAATTGCATAGAATAGATACCTAACTAGAGCTATGTAAATAAATTATTTCATAATCCATAAAATGGGCTCCTTTACTATTTCTTGCAACATAGACATTAAGTCAATCTACCTATTACCTACAGATGTTTTCCTCTTTCATAGTCCAGCATATGCAGCAAACGTATCCGACGTCATCTACTCAAGATACCATACATTGAAGACGGTGACATTTTACTCTTTCCAGAAAGATTTTGTATGTTGCATTTATCTAGTTTAACTTTCTGACAGCCACATAACCAGAGAATTTTAAAGACAACATTAGTATAATTTGAAATGACTAGTCACCAAGGAACATCTCTTTCACAGAGAAGTCATGTAATCTATAAAATTGCATATATT